CCCGACCACTCCAGCAACCCTCAGTTTGTTCCTGAGATTAAGAATTCCTCATATCAGTGAGGTCATAGGATACATGTCTTTCTCTGATTGATTTATTTCACTCAGCATAACACCCTTCAGTTCCAACCACGTCGTTGCAAATGGCAAGATCTCATTCCTTTTGATGGCTGCATAATATTCCATTGTGTATATATACCACCTCTTCTTTATCCATTCATCTATCGATGGACATTGAGATATTATTTTAATTTTCATTTCACCAGGACAACTTCATGCACCGCAGAGACTACCATTGTCCCTACTATGCTCTGTGTCCTTCCAGACAGACAGACAGATTCAGACGCACACATGCAACTATATAAAAAACATAGCTTTGCTGGGCTACACAATGTGTTTATTGTATAACCTGCTCATCTTTGTTACTGTGTCATACTTGATACAGAAGGGCCCTGCCGCTCCCAGGCTTTTCATCTCAGCCAGTAACTGCTCAGGGCCCCAGACGCCGGGGTCACCCTTGCACCCTTGCCACCTCTCTTTCCCTCAAACCCCACATCCAGAGCCTGACTTCTCACTGTGCCCATGGGTCCCGCCCTGGGGCAGACCCCCATCATCTTGTATCCTGAGCATTGCAGTAGCCTCCTAACTGTACCTGGACCATTGCAGTAGCCTCCTAACTGTACCCAGACCATTGAAGTAGCCTCCTAACTGTACCCGGACCATTGCAGTAGCCCCCTAGCTGTACACAGACCATTGCAGTACCCTCCTGGCTGTACCCGGACCGTTGCAGTAGCCTCCTAGCTGTACTCGACCATTGCAGTAGTCTCCTAGCTGTACCCGGACTGTTGCAGTAGCCTCCTAGCTGTACGCGGACCGTTGCAGTAGCCTCCTAACTGTACCCGGACCATTGTAGTAGCCTCCTAGCTGTACGTGGACAGTTGTAGCAGCCTCCTAGCTGTACCCGGACTGTTGCAGTAGCCTCCTAGCTGTACCTAGACCACGGCAGCAGCCTCCTAACTGCCCCCAAGCTCTAACTGCCCCCTTGGCTGTCTGTCTACTGTCCATCTGGCAGCCAGAATTACCCACTTAAAACATAAACCAGGCCAGGTCACTTCTCCACTCAAAATCTTGCAATACTCCCCATTTTTCTTGGAGTAAAAGTCAAAGTCCCAGTAGTGCCTCACGAGGCCCTGTATGATCTGGTCCCTGAGGTCTCTCTGATTTTCTCTCCTACCTCCATCCCCTCTGGTCTCCTTTCTGTTCCTCGAACACACAAAGAACGCTCTCACCCCAGGGCCTTTGGACAGGCCCTCCCATCCTCTTGGGATGACCCCCCCCATAGCAGAAAGCTTGTTTCCTCGCCTCCTGTAGAGCCGCCCCCTTCCCTCCCTGAGACCCCTGACCTGCTGTTTCTGCACCATCTGGCCTCAGAGGTGTGCTTATTGGCTTTGGGTTACCCTCACCTGCCAGTAGGACGTTAGCTTCCTGAACACGGGGTGAGGTGGGGGTGCTGAGACCTTTTGCTCACGGGGAGCCCTGGCCGTGGATCAGCGCTGTCCACGCTGAACTGCCGGCTTCCTCCGTGTCCATCTAAACAGGGCTCACCGTGGCCACTGGATGGCACTGGAGTCCGTTCTGTGCCTCGAAGCCAGGTCCTGCCTTGGTGGCCGGAGGACCCGCGGGTGTGCTCCCTCTGGGTCTGGGTGTTTAGTTCCCTGGTTCCGGTGCCTTGGGTCTTTGCTCCCGGTCTGATGTTTTGGGGCCTTTTAGGAGCAATTAAACACTTCATTTTATTTCTTTATTTTATTAAATAATGCTAGTTCCTATTAAAAATTAATTTGGCTGGTGTCCTTCTGACCGGTCCCATCACCCCCAGCCCCAGGATTCCCCAGCCCCCTCCCCATCTCGGAGGTGGGGCAGTGTGGCCCCAGACCCCCAGGAAGAGAACAGGCTTCCCTCACGTCCCCCCAGCCCCCAACACAGGCCCAGTGTCCACCTCCTTCCGGAATCATCTGTGTGGGCGTGTGGTCCATCCTGTGGACCCAGCAAGGAATCCTGGCCAGGAGCTGTACTGTAATTTATGTAATCAGTCCACTTGGGTGGAGATTTAGCTAATTTTCCTTTGCATTCTGCTGTGAATGCATGAACACCGTTGTGTGTACAGGTGTCCTCGAGCGTGCTTGTGAGCACCCCCAGGCGGAGGAACTTCCGGATCGAAGAAAACACACATTTAAAAATTTTGGTTCAGAAACGTGCGATTCTTGGGAACGCACTTATGCTTCCCTTTCAAGCACCTCATCACGCAACGTTGTGCATCTTTGGTTTGTCCTCTAGGAAGTTTTAAAGTCACGCATGTGACCCATTTCTTAGAAACGCATACAACACGCTGTCGTCAGGCACATGACTCACGTACTTCCTGATGTTTAGTTTGCGCCTACAGCTCGTCACTACCCTCCTTGTGATCCATGCGGCCATGTAATACAGTTTTCATCTTACTTGACATCTTCATAAGGGTGCACGTGGGCATCCTGGGTCCGTCAGGAACAAGACGGGCTGTGACGATGCGAAATGGTTGAGCTGACGTTTCTGGCGGTGGTCCTGGGGGTGGGAGGGGTGCGTGGGGGTATCTGTGGAAATGGACCCACCTCAGGCAGAACTTTGCCAAGCTGCTCATTTTATCTTCCCAACATTTTTCTAAGCCAGGAGATCCTCGTGCTTATTTTGCAGCTGAGACCAGAGAGTCCAAAGCCCCGTGTGTCCCCCGCTGTGCCTCCTGCCGCCT